AAAAAAAAAAAAAAAAAAGACAGTCACTATTCTTACCAATCTTCTCTAGTAAGGGAGGACAGACAAAATATGTCAGGAGTAATAAGTGCTATGTAGAAAAATAAAGCAGAGCAACGGAGATAATATCTCACTGGGGGCAGCCAGGAGATACTTTTCTGGTGAGGTAAGGTTTGAGCAGAGGCCTGTAGTGAGTGAGGCAGTGAGCCGGGCAGATACGTGGTGGAAGGATGTTTCAAGAAGATTCTGGAATGTGTTAAAGTCATGTTCATTTCCTTAGTTCTCCCTGCCCTACCCAAGTCTTCCCCTAAAAGGTAACACGGAAAAATAGAGGTCTTTTATGGAGACCTTTAAGGCCTAAACCCAGCTTGGCTTCAGTGGACTTAAGGCGGAAAAGAAACCCCAAACTGGTTAAGGGGCCCCACTTGTATGGGAAAGGACAAGAGTAAAGAAGGAAACAATGTTTCTCTGTCGGTATTTGTTCATTTGGCAAATATGTACCAAGTACCAGCTCTGCATTTTTGGTGCTGGTGAGACAGAAATGAACAAAATAGAAAAAATCCCAGTTCTGGTGAAACTTATTCTCTAGTGAAGATATGTTTCTTGTAGTAAAATCATGTACGTGTGTGTACGCCTGTATGTATTATGTGTGTGCACATGGGTGTGCGTGTCGCTGCGTTTGAGAAAGGTAAGATGTAAGGAGAAAGTTACGCAGGGCGAGGACTCGTGGGTCTCAGCCGGAAGAAGGTTGAACTTTTATTGTACGGCGGTCAGGGAAGGTGATACTTGAGCAAAGGCCCGACATTTTCCACGGTCCTTATTTCTTCCTATTTAAAATACAAGTATTTGGGGAAAAAAATAAGTGAAACAAAATAAAACAAGTATTTGGAGCTAGGAGCTGAAATTTGGAACATAGTTTTAAAGTACTCAGATCCAGCTTTCTTTTTACCACCTACCCACTTTTACCGCCCCTGAACACCCTACCCGGACCACCCAGAGTCAGCCCTACATCCTTCCACCCCAGTGGCCATTCCGTCGACACGAGCCCACTGCAAACCCTGTACGGGATGCCGTGGAATATTCTGCTGAAGCCAGACATGGCCCATGCCCTGTGTGCTGTGTAATGGCTCAGGTAAAAGGTGACTTTATTATAACACGAGGCAGCTTTATGTGAAACACAAATCGGTAAGAGGGAACCAAGTCCTTAAGTGCTAAGAGAAGGCCAAGAAAAGAACAGGCAGTCGGGTTGGGGCCCTTTAGGGAAGGCTTCCTGGAGAAGCGGAGGATTCCACGCGGGTCTGGTGGGAAGGAACAGCCCTGGATCGGTGGGACAGGATGGCTGGGGGCCTCTCGCAGAGGGGGGGTCTTCTAAGCCTGGACGAGCGCCTGTTGCTGTGCAGGCTTGGTTGCAGGTCCCTTGGCTCTGCAGGGAGGTCGGTCTGCACAGGGGGCTGAGGTCCACCTGCCTTGACACCCTCTGGTCTCCACCTTCAGATGTGTCCCCGGTGGTGGCTGGCCTCGTCGGGGCATCTGTGCTGATAGTGTGTGTCTCGGTGACCGTCTTTGTGTGGACATGCTGCCGCCAGCGTGCCGAGAAGCAGCACAAGACCCCACCGTACAAGTTTATCCACATGCTCAAAGGCATTAGCATATATCCAGAGACCCTCAGCAGCAAGAAGAAAATCGTCAAAGTGCGGAGAGACAGAGGTGGCCCTGGGAGGGAAGGAGGGCGTGCGAATGTGCTGGTGGATGCGGCAGAGGCTGGCCTGCTGGGCCCCGACAAAGGGCCCAAGGGACCCAGCTCTGGCTCCTGTATAGACCAGTCACCCATCAAGGTGGACTATGGGGAAGGACTGAGGAGCCCCGTCGCGAGCCTGACCCCCGGGGAGAGCAAAAGCACGTCTCCATCATCTCCAGAGGAGGATGTCATGCTAGGAACCCTCACGTTCTCCGTGGACTATAACTTCCCGAAAAAAGCCCTAGTGGTGACGATCCAGGAGGCCCACGGGCTGCCGGTGATGGATGAGCAGACCCAGGGTTCTGACCCCTACATCAAAATGACCATCCTTCCCGACAAGCGGCATCGGGTGAAGACCAGAGTGCTGCGGAAGACGCTGGACCCCGTGTTTGACGAGACCTTCACCTTCTACGGCGTCCCATACAGCCAGCTGCAGGACCTGGTGCTGCACTTCCTTGTGCTCAGCTTCGACCGCTTCTCCCGGGACGACGTCATTGGGGAGGTCATGGTGCCGCTGGCCGGCGTGGACCCCAGCACGGGCAAGGCACAGCTGACCAGGGACATCACCAAAAGGAACATCCAGGTGAGGAGCAAGAGTGTGTCGGGGAGGGCCAGGAGGTTGGGGGAGAGGAGATCTCAGGGAACAAATGGAAGGGCGGGGCCTGTATGAACGGCGGGGAGCGGCTGTAGGATCAAGAATCCGCAGGGACCAAAGTAAGACGGAGGGCCTGCTCCAAAAGGAACTTCGCGAGGAGAGAGGGACAGGTAGGTAGCTGCTGAAATTTCACTTCGTGGGTGGCATCCTGACACTAAGTCCAGCTTACTTGGAGCAGGCTCGTCCCCACCAGTCCTAGACCCTCATCCTATCAAGGACGTGGGGCTGGTTTCTTCTCCAAAGTCCTGTGTGATCTTCTACCAGTGAACCATGACGGGGCTTCAGTAATTCTGCCCTCAGCTTCCCTGTCCAGCCCCAACCAGGTCAGGTTAGGGTCCACCCCAGTGCAGGTTCGTGAGCTGCTTCACCTCCGAGCCCCACTCCAGGCCGAGCCCCTGCTGCAGACCCTCCTCCTCTGAGCCCTGGGAATGAGAGCGCACCCTCCTGCCTTCTCCCCACTGGGCCGGCATTGGCTCTTGAGTTGTAATTTCAGGGCTGTCAGAACCATGCCCCCACGCCCCCTGGTTCACGCGTTTCTTAACTGGGGGGGGCAGTGTGGTTGTCCACTGAGCGCTCTGTCCACACAGGCTGACATCACGCCCCAGCTCACCGCTTCCCGGCCCAGGGGCACAGCTGGATCACTGCACCCTCCTAGGCTTCTGTTTCCCCATCTGTAAAATGGAGCTGATAACACCATCCTCCTCAGAGGGCTTGAGGATTAGAGGAGATGATGTGTCTGGCACACTGTTCCCTGGGGGAGAGACCATCTTGGCAACTGCCCCATAGTGAGTAGGTGCCTTGAAAGAGGTTGTTGGCATTTTAAATTTAGACTTTCATTCCTGTTTCAAGGTACAACCTGATAACAAGGGCTTTGAAGTCGAAGCTGAGTTTGAATCCAAATCTCGCCCGCTCCCTTAGCTCGGCTTAGCAACTCTGATCTCAGGTTCCCACAGGAATGAAGCAAGAGGATGCCTTTGCACAGCCCCTCGCGCGCAGTGACCCTCCAAGAAATCGGACCCACTATCCTTACTGTTGCCACCGTTTCTACTATTAGTGAGGCTTGGTCGCCGGAGATGTATGTGGTTCGCAGACGTTTCTGTTCTGTTTTGACAAAGTA